GAAAACAGTAAGATACTAGTAAATTCACAAGCTTCAAGTAGGGATTTTTTTTTCCTCTGACAATCTATTTGGACTATATTTTAATTATAACAAATTTTTTTTCACTAGAGTTGATCAGCTCACTCTGGGAAATTGCAGAGCCTTTCTGAATTGAGCCTTTCTGAAGCACCTTTACTATCTTTTATTATCAAGTGTCGGTGAAATTTTAATGCTGGAAAAAATGTACTAAAGAGCATATGTTTGGAATAAGATTAGCTTGGCATTTTAAAAAAATATAGCAAAGTGATCATTTCAAGGATGACAGACAAGAATAGATTAACCATGTGGTTATGAATTTTGAGAAGTACTATAGATTCCACAGAACATAAATGTTAAAAAAAATAGTAGCTTTTAATTTTTTTAATATCCATTTTCTTCTTCTCCTTTTATTTTTTGTCCACACTTCAATGCACATGCTAATCATCAGTGTATATGGATGCTTTTATTAAGGCTAATTCATTTCCCTCTCCTTCACTTTTCTGCCACTGCTGCTAGAGAAACCTGCAGAAGGGAAATGGCAAGAGGATCCTGTCAATAAAAATTGATTTGCTCTCTGCAGGTGGCACACTATTGGGAAAAAATAATAATAATAACAGGTTCACTCTGACTTCTTGTTTTCTTCTACTGATTACTTCTTAATTTGCAGCTTGGAAAGCTTCATTTGAAAGAAAAGCTACCCATACACACATTTCTTAATTATTCCTTACACTAAAAATTGATGGGGAAAAAACGATGCCTAAAGAATTTCCTTCCTTCAGACAGAAGGTCCTGCTAAGCTCAGTAGGAAACATTTAGATTTCCAGATGTCAAGCTATTGACTTTGCCACATGGACACCAGAAACAAATACATAACTTTTACATGTTTGCATTAGGAGGAAAGACTGTAGATGAAAACTGTTCAAAGAAAATCATTCTACATTTGAAACCCAACTGCTTAAAAGAACGGCAGTAATCTGTGGGTTTTGAGTGCATCTTCAGGACATCATTTTTCCTTCTGAAATATTTCCTAGTATTTCCTCATATTTTGAATATGTGCTTTTGTTGGAAAATTTTCACATACTACAGAGAAACTGACTAACAAAGAAAACAACAACACTATAGTTAGTAACCATATGTTGATTGCCCTTCAAAGTACTTAACAGTAAAAACTGAAAACAGAATTCTGGATCTGAGCTTGCCTCATCATAAGCATTATCAAATAACTACCTTCCATGACAATTGTAACTTCACAGCAAATGGTAAACTTTTGGGAAAACACTTAAACTTCACGCAGACCCAATATAGTTTACATCAGGATAGGGTAGGGTGTGACTTCTCTAGATCCTGAAAGCAGAAGTCTCTTTGCTACATACAACTTGAATGGTGGCAACACTGAAAAGGAGACTCACTGAGCAAAGAAAAGCCTTTCCCTCCTTTTCATTCCAGGACACACCTATTTGGTAATGTAGTTTGTCTTGAAACAAATTCTAAAGTGGACTTTTTTACAAATATATCTATTTCTGATATATCTAATGGACAGGCAAAATGCCTAACTAATGCTTTAACTAGTTGAGCTCTAATTCAATCCTAAAGTGCGTGGCAACTATAAGAACACTAACAAATTAAAAATCATTTTCAAGAACAAGGTAACAAGAGAGGAGCAGTTCACTTTTTTTGTTTGTGAGTATGAAAGGTATTATTAAATGTGGACATGAGCGTAAACATTCATCTCTTGCTATTGCAGACTTTTGAAACTTGACAAAATTAGTTCATGAAAATTAGTAGAATTTTACATTTATGTTAACCCCTGGCTGATGCAGTTACAACACCCAAAATAAAATGACAGCAATATATGGGACATACATACTTTCTCTAAATATCCCCTGAACATGTCAACAAGTCTTACCTTATTATTCCGTATGCACTTGAATTCCAGTCAGAAGTTTAGAAATCAAGGTAAAATTTCCAACTCAGATCAGTGCATTATGTCTCCCCTCTTGGACATGATGGCTTGCATTTCCACAGTATTTTGTGTGGGAAGATTTCAAAGTACTTTGTAGCTAATACTGTAACTATATGCCTAGAACATAGTTTTAAAAACACTGCAGCAAGATGGCTTACTGGGAAAAATAAGACCTATGAGAAAATAAATGTGAAAGTGCTAACCAATTCCAACTGCTTTACACAAGAGACACAGATTACCATTCCCTAACAGAATAAACAGCCATAAAATCATGAATTTAAAATTAGCCCTGTTTGTACGTCTCATTAAGCACTTAAAAAAAATGGAGAAACATCAGAATGATATACAAATATGGAATCTACATTCATTAAAAGCTGAATTCTAAAATAATTATAAATTGGCTGTTGTACAATAGAAGACTGCCAGACTGCCACAGCTAGAAAACATTTTCATGTTCTTATTGAAGAACTAGAACTGAGAAACATAGAAATAAATAAATAAATGATCACTGATTTTCATTGTTTCTCAAGACATAGTTTCACTTTTAGCAGGATGTCTACCTAAGCAATCTTTTCACACACAGCTCTGGCCAGTCATTATTACGCTTCCATCTCCTTTTCCATGGTCTTCACTCACCATCCTATTATTTCTCTAATGAACAATGTTCAGATAAGTTACCTGACTTTAAAAAAAATCACAGAAATTAATGTTACGTTTCATGGAGGTTTGCTATACAATTTTATACTCTATTCAAGAAAAGGATACTTAGCAGCACTGTGACCTCTCTTTTCAGATTCAAGTAACATCAAAGAATTCATTCTGCCTTTGTCAGCTCTAATGCTGCAAGTTGAGCAACTAAGGAGAGAAGAAAAATACTCCAATTCTCCTCCATCATATATGTAGGGCAAGAGAAGAGTTATCTTTATCTAATTTTTATATATATATATATATATATATATATTTTTTTTTTTTTTTAAATAAAGGTAGACCTACATCCTATAACCCTCACTGCTCTAGTGAATGAGGAATATACATAAATCTCATTACCCAAATCCATCTGATGTCAAACCAAAGGAGGCTGCAATACAGTTCCTGAACCCTCCCTCATCAACAATCAGGAAAGAAAACTCCTTTGCCTGATTTCAGGAACAAATGTATCACTATTTAGTTTTTAGTACATGAAACAAAATTCAACAGCAAAGATCTCTGAGCTCTGCAATTCATTAGGTACGAATGCTGAATTAAAGGGCAAGCAGCAGTAAACACAGGAAAATATATTTAGTACTAAATATTTATACAGAATTATACATAATAGTATTAAAATATTTTTTAGCGTTTAATTGGATAAAAGCTTCAGGTTACTAACATGCATATTCATCTTTCATGCTGCTGGAGTTTCCAACTTGCTAAGTACCTAACATCACTGAAAGGTAAAAGAAGAGGATGATCTGTAAAATTATTTCAGTTCTTTAGTAAGCCATAAAGTACATAAGGCTTTCATTGTGGAAATAAACTGAAGATTCACATGCTTGTAACTTCCACAGCAAATGAAACTCTGGAAATGACACTCTCAGTAAAGCCAGGAGTGCCAAAAATCAAGGAAAAGGAATAAAGCAGTAAAGGACTTACCAAGTCCTTTTGAGAGAAGGCTGCAAATCCTGCATATAATCTTCATCCCTTCCCTTTCTCACCCTGCTCAGTAGCAGCACCTGGCACAATACCTATTCTTTTTCACATGACAAGAGTACATCACTTCAGAGCCACTTTTAATATTGCAACTGCTGGGTATACTAAGGAAGCCAGAGAAGATTCTGTATGAAAACCTACTTGGAGTATTGTGAGGAGCCTGGAAATTACTTGGAAACTGCGATACATTCTAACTGAAAAATTTAAATTGCAAATGTACAGGCAAAAAAATACCCATCCATTTCGTATCCTGTGATACAAGCTTTATTTTTAATGATTAATTTCTCCAAAGTCCTTTTCCCTAGTCAATATTCACTCACCTGTGTCATCTCTCACCACTGATCCTACTGAAGTTTGAAAGAACCTAATGATGATGGTTAACTTTTAAAATCAATACTTCTGTGCACACTTCATGGAGAAAAATAAACCTTTCACATAGATAAAGTTATACTGAAAGATATGTTGGAAAAAAATGACAACATAAAATATAATCCAAATGAAATATTAATGGTAAAATGATGATGATATGTTACAGCATTAATGCCATGTCATACTGCTTTACAGGCAATGTAAGCTGATGCTGCTTAGGAAATTTTAACAATTTCGTTAATAATACACAAATTACACTAAACTTTAATTTGATTTCAAGTCTTCTTCATCTTCGTGATGTAAATAAATTGGGAATACAAAATTATGAAAATTCTGCTTTCTCCAATGATATTTCCATTAGGTATTAACACAGCAGTTCTCATCTTTCCTTTATATATTGTAAGCATAGAACAGTTCTTGAAATTCCTGATGCTGTAAGTAGAACTTATATCCTATTCCCACACATTAAAATAATTTACAGTAGTCCAAATTTTAATGCTTCCCAATTCAAAATCTACCTGCTACTGATGATAGATTATAGGAAAATTTTTAAATTTAAAAAAAAAAAAAAAAAAAAAGATTTTAATTTCCATTGTGAAAGAAAAAAATATATATATTTCTTAGATTTATTAATCCTACCTTTCCAAAGAGAAAATCCCTCTGTGGATGGGAATCTATCTTCCAGAAATATCTGATGCTCCAGATCACAGTAACCTGTGATCCAGCGTAACCACTTCTAAATGGGATTACATATATCTTCGTAAGAGAACTTCTGCCTCAATTCCTTAATAAGATTGCTTCTCATTCTCTTATTCCATCTTATCTTCCAAAGCATTTTGTAAGACATTGTGTGTAGCAGTATGACTAGCATATGCACGTAGTACCAAACTCTGCAGAGCAACTAAAGAACTTTGCAGATGACTGCTATAACGCAGTCATTTCTATGAAGACAAGACTTATTCACCTGCTGAAGTTGTGCTTTTGAGATGCGAATGACAGGGGGAAACTTGTTGCCACAGGGAATGACAGGAAGCTGCCTACGACCAGTTGAGCGGGAAGAAGAGGAGTGGCTCTCAGCTGATTGACTCCTTGGTAAACCAGCCTCTTTCAGAGGGTCCGGGTGGATGGACAGATAGGCTATAGGGCTCATGGTGCGGAGGATGGGACTTGAAATTCTTGGAGTGGAGAAATGCAGCATATGAGATGAGTTGAGCTGTGAGAACATGGCAGGGAAAAAATAAGGTTCAGAAATCAATTCTGTAGTAATTCTTGTTTCTGTCCTGCATATATGCATTTTCTTAGGAGACTGCATTGCAATCTCCCTCTCATGGTAAAAGCTAATAATTTAAGAGGTTTCTTTTTGATTGTTGCTGTTATTTTTTTGAAGTCTTATTACCATATTTTCCATCAATTCAAAAAAAATTCTAACATCCAAGTCAGAAGCGAGCATCCTTTCTCCTGCTGGCTCCTGTCATTCAGTCAGTCAGAACCTAGGGCACATTTAATGAACTAACACAGTCAGTTCCAGGGATGCCATATAGAGAGGCTAGCTGATTGTTGGCTGGTCCTCACAAATACTCAGCATATCCATTCAACAGCGTTGTTTTCTATGATAATAATAATTTTAGCATATGCACCCATTGCATGCTTTAAATACACGACTGTATAACTATGGCTATAGCAGTGTATATTAAGAACCATAGCTGAAGGGATTAATCAGCAAGATTAGCATTAGAGAATGAAATTTCCCAAACATGGAATTGAATTTGCAGGATACACTGGCCCAGAGAATCCATCAACACCTGCTTCATTTTGTATCATATCAAGCAAGCATTTAGAAAAGAGCAAAAACAACAGGAATGGTAAAGTCAAAGTGTTCCAAAGTAATAAGTTTAAAGGAAGTACATTTTCTAATTGATTATCAGTAATTCTAATAAACCTACAGATTTGATGCACAATACCGAAGCCAACCAACCCCTTCCAAGGCTTTTTACCTTTGCTGAATAAGTGGTGACACATCTAAATATCTGTTAGTGAGATTACTGTTTATGGCTTACATGGTTTTGTTCCAATTATATTTGGACAAATCCAGGAACAGTATAGATATGGAAACTTTTTTTTTACAAGCTATACAAATATGATTTTCCATTTCCTGTTGTGATACTTGCAATTCTAACCTGTATTCCTTGGAAACAGAGCACACTTGTCAGCACTGCGGTTTCCAAGGAAAAGGTATTCCCACTCGCGTCAATCCTAAAGCTTCAGTTCCCTTACTACATATCTATCGTTCAACTGAAGGAAAGAAAAAAATTATTTCCAGTGTCTCATGAAAACAGAAACTGAGAATATAAAGCACATGAACACTACAGAACTAAGAAGCCTCCAATAAATGAAAATTCAAGAGCAGTTTTATCGATACAACAGAACTCGATGTATAAAATGCTAATTTCAGCTACATTTCTAAGTAATAAAAATAAGCGCATGCACAGTTAAATAACTTCTATAGCCATGCATATATATGTATTTGGTAGTAGGTTGCCAAGAAAATGTGACCAGAGTAAACTGTTGTCTAATTTAAATTGAACTTGAAACAGGCATTAGCTGATAAATATTGGATTACTTTAACACCATTGTTGTTTTTTATGCTGAAATAACTGCTTGACAAATATCCTATGTTGCGAACAGTCTTGTGCATCCCACTATATGGAGATCATTGCAATTCAATACAGAGATAGTAAATTAATGAGGCCATAGTTAGCAACACAGCAAGTTCAGCATTAAACTCTTAGAACCAGATAAAGAAGAAAAAGAAAAAAGCAATAGGATGCTAAGTGCTGCTCCAATGTAAATTTCTGAATAGTTTATATCACTTCCAATTCTTTTGACAAATTAACTTAACAGCAGCAGATGTTACTGTAAATCAGATACTGCCTGTCCTGCTGAAGCCAAACTCTACATAAAGCCAACATGACATCATACAGCCAGCACATACATACCAGCATGCTATGAGTAATTCAACAGAAATTGACTGCATGCCCATGACCAAGACACATCAAACTGGTATTTACTGGGTAATCTGTTCTGTGTGACTGCAAAACCATGTCTGATAACAAGAAAATTATCTCTTTACATACATGCATTTCCACAAATAATTGCATAATTGACTAGTTTTTTTAAGCCTAAAACTTGCTAATCCCAAACCAATAACTTACATATTTTTTCTCTTACTCTTTGAGCTCAGATTTCCCTCTTGAACTGCTACAATCTCACATTCTTAATAGGAGCACTGATGCTGTGTGTAACTGGTAAGAAATGATATTATCACCAATTACAGAAAAACCAGGTATACACATGATATCCTGAAAAGCAATTACCTGCAAATGGAAGGACTACAGATCAGCCATTTCTTACCCTCACAAGAAAATAAAACTGGGGGGGGGGAGAAACCTTCAATTTCCTATACAGAAACATCCTTGCTACTACTTAAAAATATTACATCCATTCACTTACTGTAACATTAAATTAAGTGCTTGCATATTTAAAAAACAAAAACAAAAAAGTTATCTGAATTGTCAAACTCTCAGAATAAACTCAAAGACCATAATTCATCATATCTCCTCCTAAGTGATAATGAAGTAAGGTCACTAGAAATCCATATGGGAGGTATATTAATAATCATGATGATTCTGAAGATAAGAATGGTTTCAAGCCATTTGAAATGAATAATCTGTTCAGAAATTATGTTAAGATACTATACTCTGAAATTTCAACATCTATCTTTAACCCCTTTTAGTAACACTTCTTTTAGGTCACTTGATATATGGTCCCAAACTTAAATTCTTGGATCCAATCTCTTATTAACAGATTCAACATAACTGAAATTAGCAGAAAAGTAAAATACAACCCTTTGCCCATTACTTGTACTTGCTGTCAGGAAGGAAATATCTAGATAAAACTACTAAACAAAAACATTCAAATCTAATTAAGGTTGTTATCATTTCATAAACACAGCACCAACTTCACTATTAAAATTACGCAAAGTCTTTCAAAGCATTTTTATTATTGGAATCATATTATCTTGAGCATTTCACATTGCTGTCATGTAACTGTACTCTGCTTCCCAGTTTGGTTTTGTGGTCCAACATACAATAGGAAGCATGTGCTAAGCCAAATCATACAGTGTGAGATACAAATTTTTTTGAGCCATAACAGGCTTTACCAAGGGGTTGTAGTATTTGTTACTGTTATCTTTATATCGGTTCAAAGGAGACTGTCTTATCTGAATACTACGGCTTTGGCAGCAGTTGTACACATTGAGAGATAAAAATATCCAACCAGCAGGCAGAGTATAGACTCTTCAGGCTACTGCCTTCTCCCATAATTGTGTCTCTTGTTTTGAACTGCACTGGCAGTAACAAGTATAGCCCTAAGAGATAAATAGTGGACAGAAAAGTCTGTGGTAAAGAAAAAAGAATTGATGGCATTACAGAAAAAATACAGCATGACATTTACCTTGAGCAATCATTTTTAGTCAACTTTAATTTACTACCATAGAGAATGTCAGATTAAGGAGATTACTCTATTTATGAAAGGTAAAATTAGTTCAACCACAGAACTGCTTTAAAAAAAATAACCCATAGCACCTTTCAAACATCGCATAACAAATATTTTGAAGATTAAGATAGTCTGTCCTACCTGTTTCAAATAGCATGTCATGCTGCCTCCACACAGATGTACATAAGTACAGGTCCTGGAGGAAAGTATAGTCTTTTACGTAACTTGGCTCACTCCTAGAACAGGTGTTGTTCTAGAGATTTCAGGTACCATTTCCAACTTACCTTTGCAACAAAGATTGTAGCACAGTATTTCACACATCCATTGCGATTTTATGTTTATGTATGACAAATATAATTAATACCAGCTTATATGTGTTACTCTCCTTGATTAGAAACCTCTGCATAAATAGAATGTTAATATGTTTTAACTGAGGCAAATTCTGTGGATCATACTTGCAGAGCGATTATCCAAGTCCATGGGAGAAAGTAAATACTCATAACAAAGCATGGAAGATTACCCCTCAAGAATCAAGTCCCATTTTTAATAAACTATGAATTTCTGCTACACTACTGCAATTGACTTACTGCCTTTTCACTTATCTCCTCACATAATTCTGAGCAAAGAGAGATTTAATAAAACAGCGAGTGTTTTTCTTACCGGAGTGAGTGCTCCTTCTGCTTGAGCTTCCATAGGACTTGTAGGGGTGGCTGCAAGAAGCTGTCCAGCAGCTCCTGTCAGAAGTTCCAATTTGTCTGTAAGCTGTTCAGAAGAAGCAGGATGACTTTCCATGGCAACAAGAAATTCCACCCCTGAGGTTTGATTCTTGGCATGGACACTGTTTCCTGCCCAGCCTTCTTGTCTGGGCTGCTCTTCTGGAGGGGACTCCTCTAGAACTTGTAGTACCTCTGGCTCTTCATCTGAGGGACTTCCAGTCGTTTTGTGCCCTAAAACTTCATTTGTCCTGAAATCCTGCAAGTCCCGTTCCTTATCTATTATCACCCATTCCTTAGAATCAATCTCCTGCCTGCAGGAGCTTAAGTTGACAGCTACAAATCCATTGCCAACAACACCATCAATTTGTTCTGGAGAACCAGCTGACACAGGTTTTGAAGCATCTGGAAGATATTCTTCATCATAGTGCCAAACATGGTCCATGCGGGCAGCCACAGGAGCAGGAATGAGTGATTTCTGAGGAAGAGGAGGAACAGCAGCAACTGCAGTCTCTGCTGCAGCATTCAAGTCTTTCTGCCTCTTCTCCAAACTTAAGAAAAGAAATATTTGAATTAGTTACTAATGATGTAAGCTACATTTGATAGTTTTTCAATTTATGAAAACCAGATTTACCTAAAAAATTGTTGCCACGTTTTAGAAAAACCTATAGTGAAAGAGCTAAAACTTGAAGCAATTCCATAAATTAAGCCAAAGAAAAGAGAAGCAAATATAGAAAACAATTATTTCACTGTGATGTTTATTATCCACTTCTTCAAAAAATAACTCTAATGGCAAGTAAAAATGGTTGGGTGGTCTTCTGTTTGCACACATATCAAGGCAATTACCCTGAGAGAATGGCAGAGAGAATCATGAGCAATTCACAGCTCAGTGTTCTGGTTTCCATCTGCATTTAAGCTATGCTACAAAGAACCCAAGTGGAACAGTAAAAGCAGAATTCACCAACAGCAGTTAGAAGATGCTTTCAAAATCAGTGTTTCTGTTTTTTGGATTGGCTCCCAATTTGTGCTTTGCTTAATTTGTTTCAAACAAATTCAAATTACTAATCCTCAATGGTGCATTAGAAGGATTTTGCCACTGTCAACATCTCATTCATCTTCTCCTGTGTCCCACCTTAGCTACGGCCTCTCAGACAGATTACAATGCATCTTTCTTTACTTTCCTTTATTTTTTCTATGTAAGAGCAAATTTGATTTAATCAGCTCTGATATAGCTTTCCTTTCTCTGTCTTCAAATTCCATTTTAAGACCTTTGTTTTCTAACAACTTTGTGTTGTTTTGTTGTTTTTGTTTCTTTTTATGTTGGTTCAACATTTTTTAGTATAATCAAATCTGCTACACGCAAGTAGACTTTTAACTTGACTTTCTTAAAAAAAAAAAAAAAACAACCACAAAACACTCAGCTTCTTGTAAGCTGTCCTTCTCATCTCCTAGCAACCAGTCCCACATAAGCTCTACTGAGCACTTGACGTCATCATTCTTATTTTGGATGAGTTGTAATGACTGTCAAATGTCAAGACCAATCCAGTGAAGAAAAGTTAATAAGCATCACCCTGTAACAAAAGATTTTTTATAAAAATGACCTTAGCTCTATACTAGCATTAGTCTTCTCCTTCTTTTTCTATTCCTTTGTTGTTTTTTAAATAAAGACTAGGTAAAGCTGCAACATCAGTAAGTTGAGCAATGTTATGAACATATTTAATATTGTTTGCTGTAGCTTGCATAAGCACAACTCAGCAAATACATTCAGGATTTTCGCAAGGTGCTGTAAATCTACAGAGTAACAGCAGAGAGATTATACTGTCTTAACAACATATTCTGTAAAAATCTAAGCATAAAAATAAAATAGAAATAATTTATTTACCAGTTTTCAAGAAACTTATCAGTGTCTGGCTTTGACTCCAATGTCAGACGCTTCTCAAGTTCAAAGCTGTGAATTGAACGCAGCTTTCGAACCAGCGGGACATCTCTGTCCAGCTGGGTGGTCTCTGAGCGGACACGAACTGGAGAACCTAGACTTGGTGCATTCAGCATTCCATTCACAGGTCCCTGGCTGTTTTCCTCTTCTGTGGCAGCCTACGCAAAAAGTAAAAGTAAAAACATAACACACTAGGAATGGTAAAATAAAGGAAGACACAGAATTGTATAGTGAATACGATCCAGGATTTTATCCATTGATAAGCCAATTTGTATTTGGAACATTCCTTAAGCTCACACCACATTTGAGATAGTTTAGACATGCTCTTCAGCATGTACCCACAACAGCAAAAAAGGTCAGTAGTAATGCAATAGCTCTGGGCAGGTCAAAAAACGAGAGACTAAACAAAAAAACAAACAAAACAGAAAACAGTAATATACTTAAATCTATATCGATTTTTCATACCCATCTCTAAAATTTTCCTCAAAAGTAGTTTGAAACCAATCATTTAGAAGCATCCTCAGACTACTTCAGAGCCAACAGCTCTTATTACAGAAAAGTTAGTTTCCAAGCTGTCCTTATGATCCTCAACCTAGAACTTCATCTTAGCTCAACTGCATTTCATCTGGTATACTAGCTGGACACAACCTGAAGCTTGGGAATCATGATTATCCTTAATTTCAACAGGTGCCACTAACAAAAATTGCTTTTGTTTAAATCAGAGCAATTGGCTTGCTCCCTCTTTGGTAAAAATAAAGAATAATAAAAAACAAACAAAAAAACCAATAAATTCAGCAACAGTGAAAAAAGGCACCATGTCTTATGGCCTACCACAACACATTTTTTTCTAGAAACAAGCCGCAACAGCCTGAAAACTGGACATCTCCCTGTCTAAGGAACATTTCAGTAACACATGCCTATTGAGCTGTTTAAAACATTTTTATATCAAGAAAAAGAGCTACATTTTCTGAATATGAAGTGTAGTGATTGTATCTGAAAATATGAAATGCTGTGAAAGTGAACAAGGGAAATAGGAACCACTCCTGAGAGACTACAGGTCAAACTTAAGAAACTTTGTCTCCAAAAGATTAACCCATTAATCTCTCTGCATCAGTAGAAAGGTACCATATCTTACCAAAGCAAAAACACCACATGAACTAAAAGGGTACTACCAATCATGCTTAATGTTAATTTGTCACTTGAAAGACAATAAATAATACTAAAACATTTTTGTATTTTCTGTATTTAAACTCTACTCACGCAAAATACAGAAAATCTGCTTTGGCTTCACACACTGAGCAAGAATTGAAATGATGTCTGAAGAACGTGAATATGACGATCACGAAGATATGATACCAATGACATTACAAACTATGTCACTCTCATAGCAAACTAAATTCTCAGATTAAGCTTGAAAGAGACTCAAGTTTAAAATTGTCAGCAAATTATTAATCGTAAAGACCAGAAAAGCCCAAAAGCTTGTCTACTTTTTCTACTACACAGATTAGTCTAATAAAAAGTGTAAACTCTACCATGAAACCTTGTTTACTTAGATCAGTCTAAGTAATGCATACTAGCATGACTGTATTATTAATGATATTCTACTGTGTACCATGAGGACAGGAAGTTGTTTGTAAATCTTCACAATACAAATTCGTAAATACCTTACAAATCCCTAGTTTTATTTTGTTTCTGTTTATATCCATTTCTTCCCAAACGTCTTTTTCCTGAGAACGCTGATGCCCAGGAGACCCAGGCAGCTTCTCTGGTGAGACACCAACTGGAATACCATTCTCTCCATCACTGAGCTGTTCATCAGGAAATACTTCATCTGTGTTCTCTCGCAGCAAATCTCCTGGAATAGGAGTGGCATTGGCAATTCTACAAAAGTAGAAAAAATATTGGAAAAGTCAAAAAACTTAATTATGTGAAAAACACTTAAAAGCTGCTGCTTGAACATTTTCAAAGTAATTTCTGAATAAAAATTGTTAGAGATCATATCTACAGACCACTGGATAAATACTATTTTCTTCCATCACTGGATGAAAATCCTCTATAAATGCTGTTCAGTTGAAAAATGTTTGGTTTTTTCTGTTTTTTTTTTTGTTTGTTTGTTTGTTTTGTTCGTTTGTTTGTTTGTTTTCCAAATGGAATTCAACAATTGCTTAGTATCTGCATATAACAATTCAAAGTAACTGGAATAACATTCTCCTCTTGGTACTTCCTGGAATAGAAATGGACTATGAAGTCCTTCACATCGGTTGCACTCCTGAAATCAACAAGGACCATCAATTGATAAATAAACCGGGATGTTCTGACAGAACAGTAATGTCTTACTTTCTATACTGTACAGAAATATACTGAACAAACAGTAGCATGTAAAATATGGTAAACCAGGATTATCACCTTGGAAAGTACAGTACCTGACTTCAATGACTAGTCCTGATGGAAGACAAATGTTAATAGGTACCATTTACTATATTCTAATCTTTTTACTTCTTTCTTCCAGTATCTGTTTTAATTAATTGGACTGATAGTCCGAAAACAGTTTTGACAAATTTGACTGTTCAAAGAATAATGAAGATAACAGTAAAGTTTGAAAATATCTTACAAATCACATAATCCACGCGCATGAAATTAAAAAACTCGCTCTCAAGCTATTATCATTTTAACCATAGCCCAGTCAATAGTTACTCTGTATTCAAATGTTGTAGTTTTTTGTGTTTTTTTTAAGTGTGCTTGTGTTTATTTAGCTAGAATAACTTTATTTAACACTTATCTTAGCATGAAGATAAGACAATGTCTGCTTCTTACTAAAAAAGCTATTGATACAACTTTTGTCTCTTCTCAGATTCAGTAATTGTTTCCATTCCATCAGAATTAATTGCAGTGATCATACATACACAGTGTGCATACATACCCAATTGCAGCTGGAGTAAGACGAGTGTGTAACTGAGGTGTGGTTGAAGTTGTTGTCGTTGTCAGAGAGCCATCAGTTCCACTCTTCTCCCAGTCAAAAGGATCACTTTCAATAACCCCAAAGGTTTTCATGCTGTTATCAAACACAGACATGAGAAGCTAAAAATGAAGGAAAAAGTTCATTAGCTTCATTTTTGTCACAGAGATCAAACAATTCAAAAATACTATCCAATAATAATTCAGCATACTCCTTCATGATTCTGAGTGACAATTTTCCAGGAATATAGATTTATCATTTTTGCAATGTTTCAAATGTAAGATATGCAAACTTCTGTTTTACATTAAAAACAAATAAGCAAGAAAAGACAACCAAATCTTCCCCATGTTTCTAGCTGAAAAGAGAGGCAAAAAAGGTAGAAATGTACACATAGGCATGACCAAGTTGCTGCAGAATAGGAGCCACAGCTTTCCAAGAGAGAAGGATGAAAGAATATATTCAGCAATCATTAATCATTAAATGCTAGGGAATTAATCAGGAGTGCATAGGAAGAATACCAATTCACTAATTTATATACTTCTTTTATTTAATACCATGCATCATTTATATTATCCAGTGCTGACATTCATACCACAGAAAAGCCACATGAGGAAGCTTTCCTCTCTAATTTTATGCTATGAAAATTAATCCAGGCCAATTTGTGTCCATGGGAGAGAAAGAAATTACATCTTCTTTCCTCTTGCTTTGGAAAACTTTTGTCTCATTCCAGTAACTGGTGGGAAGGCTGCGTCTGTATCACATCATCTCTTGCTTCAAAACATTTTGACAAATTATACTTTTTTCCTAAAAGCTAAATCTCAGGTTTTCATTCTTTCTTCTTATCAAGGTTGCTGGAAATTTCTCTGCCTCTTTTAAAAATACCTACTTTTTCTAAGTTAAAGTGGATGGGAAGTTTGGATTATTTTTCTTGCACAAAATGCATTCATTTTATCTTTACTCTTAAGAGCTCTCAAAAATGCTATCTATCTCTGTCAATCCAAAACCCTACTGAACTGCACAAAGCCACAATTCATTCTGTCCCATTCACACTCTCCTTTATTCGATTTTTCCTGTACCTTCATCACTTTCTCTCAAATTATTTTAGACAGCATTCTCCTTTAAATCTTTTCTATAATTTCTGCTATAACGCAAAACCAAATGCCGTTTCCAACATGCTAGCATAAAACAGTCATATTTTTGAGTTTAATTTTTTGTTAAAATATGGGTCAACAGTGAGTGACTAAAAATACACCACTTTATCACCAATCTGAAGCTGCCTATTTCAGCAAGCAATATTCTCTTCAACAAAGAAAAATGACTATTTAGTTTTCTAGTGATCTCCATAGGCAATACTTCAGTGTGGGGGGGGAAAAAAAAAAAAGCATGGATTCATGTCATGATCCAGATGTAAGTATCAAGGGTGCTGAGCTCAAGATTTCTGAAAATTGCCTGAGTGCTTATTACTATAAAACAATCTCATCAATTTAACTTAAAGAGCACTCACTGGAGCCTAGAATATGAGCACAACATCTGAACCTAAGAGATCACTGACTGCACAGCAACTGACGATCACTTTTAGAAACCTAACCCCCCAGCTCTGGGCTGCACTAAACAAGGGACATCAGCCATTCCTCTTATGTCTTACCTTCTCAACTCTCACCATCTCTGTAACCCTCCTTCGGATGCTCTCTAATAGTTTCATGCTCTTCTTACATTGTGGCACGCAAAACTGCACACAGTGCTCAAAGTGAGGCCACACCAGTGCAGAACAGAACAGAGCTGGGCCTGATGCACCTCAGGGTACGGTTGGCCCTTTTGGTTGCCAGGGCACACTGCTGACTCCTGTCCAAATTGCAATCAACCAGAACACCCAGATCCCTTTCCAAGGAGCTGCTCTTCAGTCTCTCTTCCACAAGTTTGTACGTACAGCCAGGGTTGCCCTGACCCAGGGTGGAGTGCAGAATCCAGAACTTCTTCTTGAATTTAATATGGCTTGTTACTGCCCAGCCCTCTAAATTAATCAAGATGTCTCTGCAGGGCCTCTCTGTCCTTGAGGAAGTCAACAGCTCCTCTCAATTTAGTGTTGACCTTCAAAACCTTCAAGTCCTATATCCAAGTCACCAATGAAAACATTAAAGGGAACAGGTCCTAAAATGAAGCCTCTCCACAGCCCACTAGTGCCTGACCAACAGCCTGATGTAATCAATTTATTCCAATCACTTGAACTTGACCGATCAGCCAATTCTTCACCCACCACATTATCCCTTGTCTGGACAGTTTGTCCAGAAGGATACTGTGAGAAACAGAAAGCTTAGATGAAATCCACAACTGGCTTCCTACTACTACGTTGGTAATGTTCTCATAGATGTTGGTAACCTTGTCATAAAAGATTAAGTTGGTTAAGCAGGACTTCCCCCTCATGAACTCATGTAGTCTGTAACCAATGATTGCATTGCCTTTCAGATGTTTTTCCAGTAACTCCCAGAATAATCTTCTCTGTAATTATGCCAGACACTGAAGTGAGACTGCCACATTCAAGACCAAATCAAAGAAATCAAAGGAAATTGAAGATGCAACTGCATAAAATTCTACTTAAAACCAGAGATTCAAAAAAGTAAAAATGTTTACCTGGTAATCAGGTTTTGTAAAGTAATCTAAATTAGAGATGTGATCCAGAAAGACGTTGAATTCTTGAGGAAGGTGTTTCAACATAAGTCTGTGCTCATACCTCTCTTTAATGGATCCCACTTGCTCCTAGGAGCAAATAATACAAAAAACGTTAGCATACCTTCGTTCTCTGCTACGTACCCACACTGTCACCTTATAGCCATTCAAAACAATACTAACCAGACAGACAGTTGCGTTACACTGATCAGTACTGGGGAAGGCAGTTCTTAATCAGATAGCAAGATAAGAGATTGCCATCAGTACATACACAAAAATAACATACTAACTTCAAATTGAATATGAAAAGCTGTTTGCTTCTGTGCCTGAATGCTGCCTGATATCATTAGAAATTTCAACCCTTCTAAAGATTAAACCCTGCTTTAAAGATTAAAATATCTTGTATCATCTCAAGTCCAATCACTTTCTGGTGATTATTCGGTCACTGCAATACATCACAGAAGATCTTGCTTAGTGTAAGATGAGCAAATCAAAACCAAAAGAAGCTACCTACACAGCACAGCACACTATCATCTACTAACACATGAACTACAGGAGTAACCTAGTTTCAATATAAATTCAGGAGAAATTGAAAGTAGAAATACTAATAGGCTAATTAAATACCATTTTTCTTGGAATATCTCACCTAAGATATGTGCCAAAAGAGTACTGCATATTGATTGATTAATTTTTGTTCATCAGCACATAATAAATGCCCACCTCACAAATAATCAAAATAGATAAATAATGCTCAGTGTCCAAAAGGTGAATAAAAAAAATATTCAAGTGAGAACAAGAGCATAAATTCAGTGATGTGTATACATTTACTTTTGTTTTTGAAATGTTTTCAAACTAGAAGTAACAGTACACTTTCCCACTAAAATTTCCCAGTTCATAAGGCTTGGTTGTACTTTATATCATGATATTAGGAAAAAGAATACTAGAAAACACTCAAAAGAATAATGTACAAAATAAAAAAGCAGTGATTCTTTGTGGAATCTTTATCACAGCATCTGCTTGCAATTCACAACTAATTTTACTCATACTCTTTGGTTCCACTTCCAGGTTTACCTTATCTTTTATTTTTCTCCAAGGTAGTTGCCCAACCACAAACTCCACCAACATGTAAAACAGGGACCAGAGATCATCATGTCGACCCATTTCCTATGAGAAAGAATTACTTTAATGCATCTTACACAAAGATGTAAGACAAAAGAGAAGATAAACTCTTCACTGTTAAATTTACATCGTTATACATAAAAAATCTTATTAAAAAACACTGCAAATAAGTTGTTAAAATAGACGATTTAATTATAATTAGGAACAGACAATTGTATTTCCATAAAAGATACAGATAAAAGTTGAAGCGTGTTAATATTACATAGTACCTTTACTAGAAGAGCTTTTACACTAGAAGAGGTGTTTAATTGTAAGAAAACATGCTAGAGATTATGTATGTTATGTTATAGAGCTCAGTTCTATAAAATTTGCAGTACAACTGAGCAAAGATAATCATTAATATCACTACTATTTTGCAGAAACCTTTTTTACTCTCAATTCCTGTAAATTACATCATCTTTTCCCCCAAATTTAGATGTAGCTCTACAAGACAAATGTACCTATACCAGGATACAAAACGAAAGCAATAGCAAGTGCATTTCTGCTTTCAGCTACATCAGATGGATATAATACAGTTTCAGATACTCACTCTGTTTCTATGAGCATTGATTGACGCATATCGTACTGTTCCCCGAAAACCAGCAACAGCTCGAGGCTATTAAAGAATAACAATAAAAAAGATTCCGTCAGAAAGAAGCCCTCTGAACAGTTAAATATGTAGCTATCAAGTGGGTGTGGAGCCACAACAAATATCAAATATCACTGATTTATTTCAATTTTTGCTATTTATCAGTTATCAGTGGAAATCAGTGGAAATAGGCATCAGAAAGCAACACATCATAGTTTCTTAAATCATACATTTGTGTCAGTTTTTGATCTCCAGAATCATCACGTCCTGTTTAATTCATGCATCAAAAAAATAAATCTGTATGACAGAAATATTTCATTTTCTTCTCCAATAATGAAATATCTCCTGTTATTAACTAGTACAAGTCTGTGTCTCGAAATTTTGACAGGATCTAAAAACATAACAATTAGTTCCAGTTTGCTCAAATGCAATATGGCACATACATACATGCCACAAGTAGGTACTTATCAAAACGCACATGCAACATTTTCCCAAATCATTTGCTGAATCAGCAAACCACTAAATTTTGAGAAATTCCAAAAGAAAGTACAGCCACAGGTGCATGTCCCAGCCATAGCATGGAAAGCTGAGGCCGAACAATAAACAACAAGGGTTTCTGACACTAATTAAAAATACTTATTTCTTTCCTATTTTCCAAATACCAGCTTTTCTTCCCTCACACTGTAGGTATTGCATGGACACACCTAAGTCAACTGCTGTTTTATAACCACAGAATCTATTTTGCCAGCCTTCCCTCCTTCATTTAAAACGTTACAAAAAGAACTATAAATGATAATAATGTATATTTATCAATTTAAAAATTACAAAGTAGTGTTATTACTTTGCCTAAGCCAGATATGCAATCCATTCTACCCCTCTTGATCAATCATTCTGTATACACTAAAGAGAACTGCTGGAACTGCAAAGTTTGCTTTCCTTTGTACTCTTTACTTCCTAATCAATAATTCTTTTTGTCTCTTACAACACTGAATGTGAGAAACTTGAGATCTATGACAATTCCTAAGATCATACAAAATTCTGCACAATACATTAAAAATCTTGATACACACACGCACAAAGATGATCACAATACAAAACCATTGCCCTATTAATAAAATACCAGTAATACTGAGAACTATCATTTAAGTATATCAGGAGCTGCCATTATTGTCAGTAAACCTATCAATGAAATCCTGCATAATCCTGCAGCAAGGTGTTTAAAGCAATTTAACAGCTCATGTAACCAATGTCTGTTATAGAGATACAATGAGAAATGAATTAGTGTTAAAGTGGAAAGTATTTTCTAGGACATTTTTAATATGACCAGGACCTCACACAATACATTTAGATCATTTTAGATTTCTCACATTCTCATAAAGGTTGAATAATGCTCAGAGCACATTTTCTGTTCAGGAGGGCAGACAATTGAGTTACTGTCTTCAGTCATCACATTCACTCTGAACATTACCCAGAAACAAAGCACAACACCTGCTGTGGAAACTTCATAACATCACACAGTAATAAACAGAGTAGTTCTAAGTGTTCTGTAGTATTGCCAAATTTCAGAAGAAAATAAAGTCCTTTATTAAAAAAATATATATATTTCTCCTTCCCAATAGTGCTGAGGACCAGAAATTATCCAAATGAGAACAATACAGATCATTGCCAAGTCAATCAGAATACATTTCCAAAATGTTTGATCAACAGCACATCTTCAGAAGGGCACTGAGAGTACAACTTTAGAACACCATAAATTCAGTAAACAAGAGAAGTAAAATTTCAGAAGATTAAACCATACAAATACTGATTTCAACCTATGGCATGAATGTTAAAAAGAAAGGACTATATTCACTTTTACCAACCTAATTCTATCATTCTTCTAAGAATAATGAAAAATACGAAAACAAGGATGGAGTGAGGCTTTTATTCTTAGATTATCAAGTAGACAAAAAAAAAAAAACGGAAACTAAAAAGGGGGGGGGGAGAGGGGGAAAAGGAGAGTAAGAAAAGGCATAAGGATCTAAATGACTCCATTCAGTTTGCAGAAATTAACAGTTTAACCTATTTCAGCACTATCCTGGGGAAAAAAATCTAATGGAAGTATTTCATTGTGCATTAAGTCTATTACTTTTGAATGTTGAACCCACTGTCATCCTTAAGTATACCTATGAAATTATTTGCCCTAGGAAGAGGGAGAGTTCCAGTGCTTTCTGTTAGCTCAGGATCACCGGTCAGGGAAAAGAATGAATGATAACTCTTTCTATATATTAGTTCGTGAAATAAATTCTGAATTCTTTACTTCATACGGATATCTAAATCCTTTCCCAACCTGAAGAGCTACTGTCCTGAAGTGTACCCATAGATCTGATTTAAAAGGATTTGTAACTGTGTCCCAGTTCTTAAGACACATTTAAATACATTTTAGTAAAGCAGTTGACCACTATTTAGAAGTGGTATTACAATCCCACTCAACAAGAAATTAATTATTCTGTGTAATTTACATGAATTATGGGTCTGGTAGCCCAAAGCATGTTTGCTCAATTCACAAGAGAATTTATAGACTTCTAAGCATCTGCAAAACCTCTCAAACTGTTTCAGAGCTCCACATGCACCTTACAGTTCATGTAGAAAAAGAGAAGCATTAGAGGCAATAATAGTAACTTCCTGAATGATTCACTACATTTTTCAAATATAGTGGCCTCTCTGCTACTACTCATGTAACTCAGTTTTTGTCAGATTAACTTGGGGAAAAAAACGAGAAATAATACTCTTGTAGATCCACTTTTATAGTCATGTCTTGCAGATCTGATATCTAAGAAACATGCCACCAAAGCAAAGGAAAATTTCCTTGTTAAGGGGAAAACGGCAACAACAACAGAGGTTGGTGGTGTTTTTATCATTGAATATTTGGAGCATGTAGCTGCAGAATGTATTTGCAGTAAAGATATGGTGAATTTCATGTCTCAGTGCATCTGTGAATTCCACTAACATCCCTGATTAAATGGACCACATTATGTTCCTTCCCAGGACAAACAAAATAATTAACTCTCTTTTTTTTTTTTCTTTTTTTTTTAATTTTTATTTTTTTCCCCTGCTCGTTCCCTCCCTTCTTCCTCCCCCTCTTGAAATTTAGTGGGTTAGAGTGCTTTCTTTTTTTTAAGTCTCCTTTTTCATGCAACATCAGTTTTCCCTGGACATCGCTCTGTCACAGAAACATTCAAAAATGTTTTAGATAAAACTACATGAAGGAAATCAGGAGTTACTAGAAAAGGGAGCTATTGTCTCTAAGCAGAATTGTTTGCACATTCTTGAGAGACACTTAGCTTACAAACCTGTCCACATCCACTGGTTCTTTGGTGGGTCAATAGAGAAAGCAAATCATACTCCTTTAACACAGTTCAGTAACTCTAGAAATGCTCTGGGCATTGTTGAAAATTTTACATGGAGTAAAAGTTACTTTTATACTACAGTCACTGAAACTATATAATAAACATGAAAAAAATAAAAACAATAAAGACTTCCTTCCTATTTTATCTGACAAACTACAAGTATCTTTCTACCAGTCAATGACTGGCAATTCTTCAGTGCCTTTAGGCTTTTACATTGAGAAACCAGCTCAGGCAGTGAACAATACCTTCTCAATACCGTCTCTAAAGCTGAATAGGAGGATAGGTCGAGAAGCAGCCACTCTATTTCCGTTTGTAAAGAATCCTTTCTTCTGTTCATCTACTGGGAACACAGTTTTAGGATTTACCTTTCTTTATATCAAATGGTACCTTCTGTCACCCTCATTTTTTTTTGTGGATATAAGCTTCGGAATTTAATTTACTGCTTAGCATGCATTAGCATCAGTTTTAAGAAAATGAAACATTCAGGAATCATCTGGGTAAGCAAAGATCAGATAGCTGAAACACAATTGCCTTTACAATAAGTAATACATCATGATTAGTTATCACTTTAATGTATAGCTTTTCAAAGCCATACTTCTAGCTCTCTATAAAAACCATTTAAGCCACTAACAACAGAGTACTCACACTGAAAAATCCTTATTAAATTATCTCCTACCAACTATCAGTAGGACATACAGCTTGATCTCCATTTTACCTAAACAAAAACTGTGATTTCCATACTGCTACACAGTTCCAGCAGATGCTGAGTAACGAGCTGAGTTAACATCTAGCAGTACAATTTAATTTTGTTATTGTGGATTCTAACAGGCATGTAGTAACAAATCAAAATTTAGCACCAACTTCTGTGGTATAAAAAGCATCACAGCAACACTTGGTGCATAAACAAGCTCCTGAGCATTTTCAATCTAGAGTACTCCAGCATTGATATGCACTAGCTGAAAACAGCAGACTTTTCAAAATTGATTCATAAGCAGACAAGTTGGAGGCTGGAAGTGGTAACAACCTACCGTATGTCTATCACAAACCTAAACTTATTCCAGTGAAAAAATCACGCAGGGTACATCTCACACCTTCCATGTGCATGTTTACTTTGCTGTATGTGATTTCTCTTATACCAGGAGATGGAGGAGAAATTACCGTAAGAGGAAGACCAGCGACTTGATTTAGCAAGCTAATGCACTAGCAGGGGATTTCTCCAAACAGACGAAATAATGTTTTTCTCATCTCCAGAAGAAAAACAGCTTTTACTGCATTATCAGAATTCCTGTGTTCTTAGCAGACGAGAGAACTCAGATCCTAATTTTTTACTTGTTTGTATGTATCACATATAGTACTTACTACAATACTATCGTACAAAGTTAATTCAGTAGTAGACTTATTTCAAGACTGCAAAATTAAGGCTGACAAGTTAATGTATATTAAAAAAGTGTTTTCTTTTTAAACCATTTGGTAATATTTTTTCATAAATCAGAGAAGTTCACAGCTCAGAAAGAATTAAAAAGACTAGAGATTCTGTTTTCATTTTGGTTTGCTTCTACTTTCACCAGGAAAGGAATTCTACTAGATCAAGCCATCTGTCTTTCCACTATAATAGCTTTTAATTTCAAGCAAATAGGA